AAGAAGGAAAGGTGAGTACTGCGGATGCGGACGAATATGACATATAGTAGGGGTCATAGTAGTTTGAAGTCAACTGCCGATTTATAGACCCATGTAGAGGTAAGTCTATTGTGCACCTAACATTCTACTCATGAAGGCGAGAATTCGCGCTAGAGGGGGGGGGGGAAACTGCTTCTCATTAATTTATCTACTTGTGATATGTCGGTTTATAGATTGAGTCAATCCATGACATACTCAATTACACCATGTCTGGTATAGGAACGACACTCCAAATTCGTAATGGCATGCAGTTGACAACTGATAACTCACACCCGATTTACGAATTTTATACATTTTCCACACAATATCTCTGGCTCACTTACCTTTGCCGCTCTGAAATGAACAAATTAGGCTGGACACCGAATCAGGTGGGTCTTCACCATTTCCTCCTGTAGGTTACATAGGGGACATGTGGGTTGAGTGTATACTACCAATCTGTGAAAGTGTTTTGCTAGGCAATCGTGTCCGGTACGTAGTCTAAACTCAGCAACGGCTTCGATTCTTGGCCAGTCGGCTATATCGGAGAGTGCCACTGTCCACTGTTTCTCCTTAGTTCGAGCTTTAAGTTCGTTGCACCTTGAGGTCTTGATTCTCTCCTGATTAAGGATTTCATTGTGAAGTCACGAGAAAAAATATATTGCCTTATTTTATGCAACTATTGCAGCTATATGTATCCTTGTTTTCACTTGTCTAGTCAGTTTCATCTACACTTTCATGATCTGTCTCTCGTATTCTTTCCGCGACTCACCTTAATTGGGACCATTCGCAGTTCTGAAAACTCAGATATTTCAAGGTCCTTTCTGAATGCTACCACTTGCTACTGCGTTAATTGTTAATTTAACTTAAGACAAAAATGGATTCATTTGACGATAAATGTTATTTTGGGTATCTTAAAACAATATGGGCACATTTTTTGTTATTTCACAATTATTTCGTGTAATTGCATATGTTTTCTTACAGTATCCTATCAAATCAACCTGAACAGAACATTGGTCGTTCGATAGTTCGATAGTAGTAAAACTAATATTAAATTAATAATCGAAACGAGGGCTTTAAAATGTCATTAAAATTACAAAAATAGAACATTCCACTGGTATATTTTGCTGGATGCATGAGTTCCTGTGGAATAAAAAGACCCCATCCACCGAGGAAAAAGGAGATTTGGGAAGCCGAGCAATCTAAAGTGCCATCGCATTAAAGTCAGCATTTTACGTCCAAAATGAGAAGAAGGGTTTGAACACATGCCGTTTTTTCATACCTTTTCGTCCCGAAATTCCAGTCCATTTTGCCATTCTTATTTCTCCTGCAATTATTTCAATCCACTTTCGCTTCAGCAATGCAAAATGATGAAATGGTTAAAATTTTTATTAAAATGAGACTGTTCATACAAATCAAATTTGAAGGTTACGCTCTAAAAATTACAGTCGCATAATAGTTCAAGAGTCGAGTTAAAAGTATTCATCTATCAGGTAACTGAAGACGCTTTCATCTTGGTAATCGATGGAGGGGAAGAGGGGGTTGAGAGAGGTTAGTGAATTTCAAAATTCTAGTAAACTACATTGAAGATTGGCATGTGAACACACGTGAGACCGCAGGTAGCGTCGACACCACGAATAGGATGTTATTGATGGAGCTAAATGAATAAGCATGTGTGAATTGAGACCCTGTGTAGGCCAAAAAGTGCAAGTAGACTGAGAGCTTTGACCGATGGTAGATGTCAAGAGACCAGTTTAATTGATTGCTCATTAGACTATTAAGGATTTGAAGCAGACAACTGAAAGCTTGGTCTGTCTACCATAATCCCGGTTCCACACTTCCAATTCAGCTGCCTGTTTCCAGTATCTAGTATTAAAGCCTTGAACTTAGCGACAGCCTTCAGGATAAGGCAGTGTGAGTGCGAGTGACCCCTCTGTCCACAAAGAATGTATTTTGTGTGTCATCGAAAAGGTAGTTATTAGCACAATGTTTTATGATGTGATCTAGCAAAGGACTATTCCATTGGAGTCTTTTGTGCCTCAGTAGGTTGTTTATTACACGTTACACGCTGAGTTAACAACCACAATCTCCCTTTCTCCTATTCTCGATTTTTCCCTCCTTCTGGCGATGTGCCCATAAGCCGCTAATCATACCACAGACTTCAAATATAATGGAAATGATGGGCATCTTTAATTCCTCCTATCATCTTTTGCCTTGTGTTGACAAATTTAATTAATTTAACCTAAGTCAAATCCAAATCAGTAGGTTTTGAGATAATAAGGTTCCTTTCAGTTTCTGACACCCCTTTTCGCCTGTATTCACTTCGGTTCGTCTTTTGAGCACTGGAAGCGGTACCACGTCATAAAATTGAAATGGAAATTGTTGTAGAAAGACTCTGAACATAGGCTTGCGCTGTGAGAGAACAAATGTGCTTGAGTCAGCAGTCTTGAGTCCCTTATCAGGCATATTTGGGCATAACACAATTTGCCACAAGGCAACGAGGACTGAGCAGACATTGAGTCAACGTGTGGAATGTCACGTTTGCAAGAGCGCAAATTGCGTACTCCAGACTTCCCTTAATGGAATGACTGGTTTCAAGCCAACCTTTGTACACTAGTAGTAATGGGGGTGGTGCAGTGGTCGATGCACAAGGTTGAGCACCTAGAGTCTGTGACCAGAGCAAGGGATGATCAGGAAAATGAATTTTCTATTGACCTAGTTCCAGCAAACCTTTTCTCAACCCAAGTCAAGGGTTGTGAACTCCTTTCACAATAAGAAAAAATAAGTTTAAATCAATTATGAGATGATTAGTCTAAAGGTAGATCATAATACAGATGAAAGGTAAGGTCTAAAGCACATTCAATTCACTCAAGTACCTTTTTGAGAAAAAGAATGGTTTTCAAAAACGTTCCCCTCCAGCCAAAAGCTCTACGTATGTTCTCTATCCTTGACCAGTGTCCAGCCGTTGCCCATAAATTGCTTACCAAGGATTGCACAAAATAACAACTCAAATCCCATATATTTATTGACTAAATTTCCACCCTTAGTTTTTTAAGAAAGCCCTGATTCAACCACTTCTCTCGGACCCTGAAAAAACCTCCAATCCACCCTTCCGAATCACGTAATGGAGGCAGACATTGAGTATTGTCCTTTTATTTCATTGGTTAGAGGAGAAGCGGTATTGGGATGCCTTTAGGAGAAACTGAAATCGTATCACTTTTTAATAGTAGGACTTAATCGGTCTGCTCACTGAGAATGTATGACCTCTGGTACCTGCGCTTCAGGGACACTTTAATAAGTATATCCCACTTGGCTAGGTGTATGAAAGAAATCACTTTAAGCAGCTTAACTTCACTAGAGGACAAGTGTTATAGAGGCTGCCCGAGTAATGTCTTAGAAAGGTGAAGATTAGAAGTTATTAATGACCTCAGTAAAAAAACATTGGGAGGAAACAAATTACGAAGATTTCCATTAGAACGAGCTGACACCCGGGAAATCGGAGCCTTTCAAAGAATCTACATTTATCAAATCACAATACCAATGTAGCACCTATATGCGCGCGTCTAGCATCACGCCCGAGTACGTTAATTGGTTAGACTGTGAAGATAATGGTGTGTCAACTCTTTTCCTTGACGTGTATTGGCTTCTTGGTCTTCTCTCACCTGATTGGGGTTTAATGCACCAATGAGGTATGAAGTGGTTGTGGTGGAGTAAGGCGATCCTTTCCATGTCGAACTCTACGCTCTCATAATACCATCGGTCCCATTGGAATCCTTTCTTATCTTCGTGTGCCTTCAAGGGGCATTTGTTCTTTGTCTTCAGCTGTATTGCATCGTTTCTCAAAAGCACCTTTAAAGGCATTTTAATTTAAATATACATACAACAACATAACTCCTATTGGATTTATTCTTCAAAGTTGTGCGCGACCATCCGTGGGATGGACATTTATTACTGATTTTCTAATCAAGTTTCTTCAATCGATACTATTTGTTATTGTAGCGGGTGAGTAATTCTTTTCTCTAAATTATCTCAATAACTCGTACCCTAAATTGAAATTAACTTTTATTGCGGATTCGGCAAACAAGGTCATGCTATAGGTGTAAAAAATTGAGTTTTATCAGAAAACACTAGTTTTCTCAGAAAAAATCGAATGTCATTAGGTTCTCTAATAAGCATTCCCTTTAATTAATGTCTTTTCATGAGGTAAATTGGCCTATTTCAAATTGATTTACGTAGAGAATTTAATGATTTATTCGGATTCAGTCTATTTTGATGAAAGTTTACCACGGAATTATTTGAAATTACCACGTTCTACCAAATCTTTTTTCAGATAGTGCATTTTTCTGACCAAATCTCAAATCTCAAAGAGAACAATATCCACTAACCCCAATGGAATTCGTGCAAATATCTTCATATTGGATTTTATTCATTTTCCTCACACTCCTCAACTACAAACTGGTCTCAGCAGGGTAAGATTTCATTAATATTTTAAAAGATATCCGCACATTCGTCTGTCACTAGCCGCATCGCAAATCTTCTCCATTCAACTGCTTAAAATCAACATCATTATCTACCACGTCATATGATGCCATATTTGAAGAAATTGTAGTAGGCTATGAAATGCTTCCAACGAATGCTTTTAACATGAGCCAAAGGGCTCTATACATGTAGGGGCTAGTCACCTAGCAACCTAAAATACCTGATTAAACAAAAATTCAAACTGATATTATCTTGTTTATAACCCTAAACAAGTGCTCGAAACTTTGAATTCTGCTACTCTAAGGAAACTCGGATCTAAAGAATAGTAGTCAGTAGGGGTAGTGAGAAATATTTGTTGAAAAGGCCTGAATCACCTGCCAAAAGTAACACTGTTTCATTTCAATTTTATGATAGGCGTCCAGAATGGATAGCCACAGATCTCTGGGACCGATGTTCCCCACAATGTGGTGATGGCATTCAGCACCAGATATTCGTGTGCGTTGAGAAAGATAAATATAACAGCAGTCGAGTGAAACCTGATCGATTTTGCGGCTCCTTGCCTGTGGAAATGCCCTCTGATGCCGTGCGTCAATGCAATTGGGGTGACTGTCAAAGTAAAACATGGTGGAGAGCCTCAAATTGGTCGGAGTGCTCCCAGCCCTGTGGGAACTTGGGTTTTGCAACTCGAGAGGTGGATTGTGTAATGAGTGGTGAAGAGGGCGAAATTGTAATCAGTCAGAAGTATGAAAATGGATTTTGTGATCTCAGCAAGAAACCAGAATCTCGAGGGCCATGCAATCGTTTCAATTGTATAGCAGAATTTCAACCCCTTGAATGGCAAAAGGTAAGTCCTAATTACCAAATTCTCTATCAAATAATCAGACGAATGGATTGCCAATTACTGACTTGGTCGTCCAAACTAGCTCCAACTCAACGAAACCTTTCTATAAACCTTTAATATAGCATTTAAGCGATAGATTTAATTTTATTTTTTTTTGGGGGGGGGGGGGGGGGGGAGAGGTGCTTTGACGTGAAAATAACTAATATCCGATCAAATTTCAGTGTGAGCAAAAGCTACCATGCGCTAGCGGCGTTCAGAGGCGTCAGTTGTCCTGCCGTTCATTGACACCCAGTGGAGATTATGTGGAGTTGCCAAGCGTGGCCTGCTACAATCGTTTCAAACCCCCACCCTCTGTGTGGCGTAGATGCTACCTGCCAAAAATCAGCGCCGAATGCGCTCAAGAGCTCCCCGTTATTGATGAAATGAAAATGGTTGTGGTACAAATGCGAGCGGTAAGTCGACATCTAAAATCTTGATCCTTAAAGTAACCAGGAGATCAAAAACTACCACCCCAATGTCAAAATTGTCTGCGCACTTTGATTTAATTTTACTGTGAATCGAGGAAAATTCATCTGTCTGGATTAAATCAGTGCAAGACTAAAAATCTAAATTAATTAAAAGCGAACTTTGGAAGTAAATAATTGGCTAATAATGTAGAAAATTTTAGGTTATAGGTTTATTAAATGAAATAATGCTTCAGAGGGATCCATAAGAACTGAAAATGAAAATTTAGACTTCTAGTGCTGTCACCAATGGCATGACGAAAGATAATAATAGCTTATCATTGAAAAACATTTATTAATTTATATGAAATGGCAGGCGTTTTGATAGTTATCATTAGGTCTTTAGTTGACTTCATCAAAGTAAAAAAAGTCGAGAGTGGGGGGGGGGGCAGAAGAGTGTTTCAAAGATGTAAAACAGACGGACACAAAGGTAGAAAAAAGGTAAGATGAGTACTGTGGAAGTGGTGGAATATGACATAGAGTGGGGTGATGGTAGTCTGAAGTGAGAAGTCAACTGCCAGTTAATATACTTTTTGCCGCATGAGAATACGTTGCCCAGGGTGCACCACGTGGAGGTAAGTCTATCTCACACCCCTCTTTGGAAAACGTATGAAAGCGGATAACGTTCCAGCAGTCATAATTGGATTGAAGGCGGGACAGAATGTGAATGTAGACCTTAAACTCAAACCGATAATAATTACATGCAGGACTTAACGAACACATTTAGTTTATGCGTTTTGCATTTTTGAGACTCCGTTTGAATGTTGAAATTTAAAAATGTGCTCCTTTGATCCCAATGGGTGAAATAATGAGTGGTTACCCATGTCTCAAACTCTTTTTTCTTACAGCCAAGTTCCTGGCAGGTTGATGAATGATAAAGTGCTTTTAAAGCGATGGAGCTCAATAAGGTTAAATTATACTGCATAATAAACATTGATGAAATCGTCGGACATGATTAAGCTAACTTACTCCTCTATTTTTTTCATCAGGTTGCCTTACAATTTCCATTATTAAAAAAAAGATTCATTGTTAGTTTTGTTTATACAGCTGTTGCTTTACGAAAGTCTGCATTTGTCAAGATCGGAATTTTGGAATTCCGTAGATAATACCATCAAAACTGTCAGACGATGAAAATTATATCATTTTCTCTCCAAATGTGGATGTACAAGTGAACCCAATTCCCACATTCTTTCAGAAGAAAAACGCATAAAATGATCACAAAAATGGTTTTGTAAATGCCAGTCTCAAGAGCACATACACACGCATTTGAGAAGTACTTATTGTGAATGCTTAAAAGTGCAAGCAGTTACATACTTTTACTTTAATATTTTTTTCAATAAACATCGGAGATGATTCAATTGTAATCCATTCTACCTATTCATAGTGGTCGATCAAAAGTGACTTTAGATAGACAAGATAAATGCTTATTATGAATATCTTTAGGTACGCCGAATGCGCTTACAAGTTGGCCAGGAGGCTTATATTCTTCCTGGAACCCGGCTATCTATCAAGTGTCCCGTGACATTCTTCCCGAGTGCAAATCTCTTATGGTATCACAAAAAAGTAGGCAATCTCTCCTACTCAGGTCATTCGGCTAAGGATCCAGTTTCTCGGTTTGTGAGCAAGTCCGGTAATCTGGTTATTCGACGTTTCTCTCGTCCAGATGAAGGTGAATGGAGGTGTCAGGCTGGCAAAAGTGGTCCTCAAGCATCAATAAAGCTCCACTACAATCTCCCATCTCAAGGATTGACTGATTGGGAGACCAGAAATCCCAAACGCAACATTGAGATACAAAACGAGGACCCCGCGGTAGTGATGACACGTCAAAAGCTTGTTCAATGGGTTGAGGGTCCGTGGTCAAACTGTTCTGTTCCTTGCGGAGGGCATGGTATTCAAACACGAGTTGTGAGATGTGAACTTCTTGATACGGGTGTCTATCATATCCTGAACGACGATGAATGTAAGCGACAGTTCCTAGTGAAACCAAAGACTCAACGTGTATGCATGAACCTACCAAAATGCCCTAATTGGAAACTTCGTAATGCTGACTATACAAAGGTAAGCAAAGTTACTTCTCCCACCTAAAGGTACATATTTGGGTTGGAATTGGTTGCAAAAGACAAATGGTTTAGGAATTTCTCTTCATCTAATGCTCCACCGTAGACGAATATGGCAAAGATTAATTGTTTCCACAAAAATGTTATTACAATTTAATATGTTGAATATAAAAGCTTATTAAAAATCACGAAACCAGACACTTTAATATAATGTTACAACCCATCATGGGAAAAATTAAAACCCCGAATTCTTCCTTAATGCCTAGATTTTATGTAGCTTGTTAATTTAGAAGTCTATATTAACCGTGGTAGACATTTTCATACGCACTTGAACTTTTTCTAAACTCTTTTTATTATAAATAAATCTTTTCATATGCTAATATAAAGTGATTGTTATTGTCACTCAACTATTTACAAAACTAATTACTATGTTTCAGCGTGCTATTAAGAAGTCGGCCTTGTCTTGTACTAATTTTGCTTATTGTAATTTTAAACCATTCTTGCAAAATCATTCACCAAATTAATTCCTTAGGATTTATAATAATTATTAACTTTTTTAAACAAGAAAACAATTCCTTATGTAAATGGCCAAATAACGTGGAGACAATGAAATTGTGCGCATCCCACACTACTAAAAACCCCGTTTTTTAGCTTAATACTTAATAATAAAACTTGGAAATGATCTGGAAATATAATTTTTTTCGACTTTTGGCACTAAAGTGACTCAAATTATTGTTGACAGTGGGGCATTAACTTTTTTCTCTTTTTTCCTGCAAATCAATCTTCAGAAGGCTTGGTAGGCATTTTTTTTAATTTTAAGTGTGGTCTTGCAGTGGCAATGCTTACTTGAAAATCTGATTAGTTACACCTTATCTACAAATAAGCTGAGCGCTTTTTTTTCAAAGGAATAAGAACAATTTTACATGAAAAGAGCTCCCACCCCCTGCCCCCCCCCCACACCTCCTTAGTTGGTGACGTTTAATATCTTGGCACTGACGAAATTATATTTTCGTGAGATGCTATCGATCGTATATCACACTTTCTTTTGCACTCTCACTCCGGAAAATGACTTGACATATGCGCATGCCTATGACACGTATTCAACGCTCTGGGGATGTTGAAGTCGCTCTGCCTATGCATTAAGAACTTCGAAAGGATTATCTGATGGGTCTAGACAAACGAATTTGTTTTTATTGAAGAAAGGCCACAATCAAAGAAATGCTAAGATATTATTTGATGAATGATAACTGAGGGGAGAAATAAAATTTATACCGATGGATATAAGTGTAAAAGCGATTTCAGGTGAAGGAGGAGAGGTTCATTAAATATTTATTTACATAAAATAGTATGCTTTATGGTAGTTATCAGTAGACCTTTAGTTGCCTCTGGGCCTCATGGGGGTGAGGTGGGGTGGGGTGGGGTGGGGGGGGGGGGGGGAGGAACACCAAAGTCACAAAAAGTTGAGAGGGGAAACAGAAGAGGGATTCATGGATGTAGAGGTGACAGACATAAAGGTAGTGAAAAAGGTAAGGCGAGTACTGTGGAAATGGTTGAATATAACGTGGAGTAGAGTCATGGTAGTTTGAAGTGAGAAGTCAACTGCCGGTTAATAGAATTTTTTGCCGTATGAGTATACGTTGCCCAGGATGCACCACATGGAGGTAAGTCTATCGCACACCCCCAATCATTAACAATAGTAGTTAGTAAGTGATGGCAAATAAGCTATTTATCGTCAATTCGGAGATCACCATCAGAAATGATTTGTTTAGCTGTCATTTGCCTGTTATTATCTTTTCAAATTCAATATATTTCCGTGGTGATTGTTTCTAACGAAAATCATCCGCATGTTCTATGGAGAGCGGTAATGTTATCTTAAGAATTTGTTTATCACAAAGTATCGCATATTTTCAAGGTTCAGCCGAATCAAGATAAAAGGCAATCTTTCACCGAAAATTCACTCAATACAACGAATTAATATATATATTGTCTTAGTCTATTTTATTGCAATAATAAATCACGCCAATAAAGATACCTAGGAAAAGAGTATATTCTAGGGTGCTTATCAGAATCACATGAAGATTTAAATAATGCGTTAGAACTGTCACTCACCTCAAGAAGTAAGTGAAAATCGAAGAAATAAAAGGACGAACACTCTGAATACCAGAATACTAATGATGTATATGGTTAGCAAAACTTCCATAATTGTTGTTGTTTAATTTGTTCAAACTAGCGAGGTTTAAAATTTTCACAATTTATCAAATTTAACCTATCAACAACTAAGATGAAAAAACCCACTTCACGCTGCATTTTTTTGCAAAATTTTACTTCTCGCAAAACCACTATTTTTGGGAAATATCTAAATTTCAACACTATTTGAAATGTGTTCAATTATTTCGATTGAATATCAAGTACTTTCTGCTTGTTTTTACTTGAGAATTTACCCATTTTGTGAATTTACGACCACAGAACGCCAGACTATATTTACTGTCCCTTTTTAGTGCTCTAATAATTGTATCGGAGTTGGACGAGGAACCTACTCTGGAAATATGGCTTGTATGCTAGGTGGCGTAGCGGTTCCGGAACATCACTGTGAGCAAATGACTAAACCTGACATCTCATGTGAAAACCCCCTGTGTGAGGCTAAATGGTCGGTCTCCAATTGGTCTCAGGTGCGCCCATCCCTTTATTTCCTTAAATCACCTTTTTCTCAATGAAGTTCAACGTCCTTTTTTCCTCTTTTAGTGCTCCGTAACTTGTGGAGGTACAGGCTTCCAATATCGAGAACAGAAATGCGTCTGGGCCCATTCAAACAAACCCGCGGGATCCGCCTGTTATGATGCAAAAATAGAGGCTCCTCCTGCTGTGCAACAGTGCCAGGCCCCACCATGCATAACTAGTGAGTAATTTAGTATTTTTAATGATTAAGAAATTAATTGACGAGAAAAGTATGATCCCACTACGGTTAACGTAAATATTTCTCAATTCTTGCCTGGGTCTGTTATGTAGCATTAGAGGTGTGAGCATGAAATATACATGCTATTAAACGCTGATTTTTAGTGTTTTTCAGTATTTAGTTTTGACTCATAGGGATAAATATTTATTTATATCAAATGACCGATTTTATGATAGTTATAATTAGCCTTTTAATCGCAAAAAGTCTAGTGGAGAGATGGAAGAGAAGAGTCCCAGATGTAAAAGTGACAGATATACACAAAGGTAGTGAAAGAGGTATGGTAAGGCGAGTACTGTGGAAGTGGTCGAGTATGACATACTGTCGGGTCATGGTAGTTTGGAGTTAGAAGTCAACTGCCGGTTTACAGACTTGTTTGTCGCATGAGTATGCGTTGCCCAGGGTGCTCCACTTGGAAGTAAGTCTTCCGCTCACTCCATATCGTCTCCTTTATCTGGAGAATTAGTCACTTTCTTTAGTTTGGTTTAGTCTGTATTAATGATAACTATACATACTTAAAATAAAGCTCACGTATTTACTCTAATTTTTAGAATGTGTCGATTTGTCCGACCAATGTCCCAAGTTCAAACATTGGTGTTCGTTCCATACATTCAAGTACAATTGTTGCAAGACCTGCCGAGACTATGCGCTGAAATTAAATGAATATAAGAGCTGATTAAAACCATTTATAGAAGTCTCGCCTCGCATTCTCCCTCCCTTTTCGTTACTTTGTATTTCTCTCTATGACAAAGGATAACTTGTACGCACATTATCAATACCACGGCCATCATATCCATTCTCCCCCTCCTTCTCCTTCCTCTCCATTTCCTCAGAGTTATAAAGCTTTTCTCTCATTTCTCCCTTCGAATCACACACCACCTGCCCCCTGCCCTCAATATATATATATATATATATTATCAGATGCTTCATAACTTGTGTGTACATTATTCTCTATTTATTCCTCCAAAAACCATACTCTTTTACCAAATTGTTCACAAACAACTCTATATCTCAAGACAAACTATCTCTCGACCATATATACGTTTCTATTTTCTGTTCAATTTATGCCCGAAAAGTCACATAATAAGAAACACAAATCTAACAGAAGAGAAGAAGTGAACGGAAGTGTACGAAAAACAGAAGCAACTTTTCTTCCACTACATTGTCCGCTTATTTCAGCTTTGAATCACTTCAAGAGTATCAAAAAACTTATAACGTATCTGGGAATAGATGTCACCTCCACTTACAAGATAACTCATCTCCTGTAGAATTGATGGAGCGCGAATTAAATCGATCGTGGTCAATTTGATTGCAAATGTATTTCTACGTGTGTCGATGAATCTGGGGGGGGGGGGAGTAACTTTTTAAATACTTCCTTCTAGTGAACTAATATTAGCATAAGTAGAAAAAACAAATATTTTACTTCAAATTTCCTGCAACTGAAAGATGAATGTGGCAGTTTGTTTAAAATGACCTTCGATGCTACATTCGAGGCATTCAAAATAAGAAATTGACAGGCCCTGCTCAGACTGGAATTTTTTGCTGGAAAGCAAATGCCCCACATGTCGCATTTATTCTTGCCTTTCCTGTCATTGCTTATTTTAAATATACTTAAGATTTAAATTCAACAAAATTGAAGGTCTTAAATAGGGTTCAAAACACTGCAGAATTTAAATGTACCAAGCGTCAAATATAGGAATTTGTTTATAAACATCTGTGCACGGTGGCGGAATTCAAATTTCGATATTATTAAATCACACTGCAATATCTGCAAATATTATAATTATGAAAATCTCAGCAAGAAATTTATTCTGCCTAATTAATGTTTAATCATATTTTGGTATTTATGAGAGTAGAAGTTAGCATGCATATGGGCTGTTGGAAAAGTATTCGACCTATCTGCATCAGAAGCATAACAGCATCACTTTTACCACAATGAATGAATGCAAAAAGTGACATCTAAGTGAAGAAGACGGGTTTATTAATTTAATTTATAGATTTAAGTCATGGTTTCAAAATTCCACCTTTCAGATTCGTCACGTGATTACCTCCTCCCTCCCTTTCCCCGATGTTCCGATAATGTCCGTCGATTTAGAATCATAATGCCTATAATGCTGCCACTTCATTCGTTTTGAAGTGGTTGAGAAGATAGAGTCATCTATCTTTATATTGTAAATTTGCGCAGCTCCGTGACAATTGGTAGTTCATTAATATTTGTCATTCATGGTTTGCTGTGCGTGTTTTTCCTTCGTCAATTTGGATATAAATATGCGTGTATATACAAACATATGGTCAGGCTATACCGAGTGATTCGATGCATGGCTTGCAAACTAAATTGCTCGGCTTATTATGGGGAGAACTCTTAATACACTCGGTTCCACGTAGCGTGCAGATAAATTAAATGGTATAAATAAATATATGAGCACAGTGCGAATATCATCAGACGCTTATTTTCATGAGAGCCTTTTTATTTTCAATAAAACACAACATTTATTCTAAACAATCATTGTGATTACAAGAAGGCTGGTACGTACTTGCAAAAAAGGATTATTTAAACAAAATAGGGCATTGACTACGCACTTATTAGAGATGATAACACATTAAAGTTGATTGTATCAATGGGTTAGAATGATTAGCCGATTTTTTCAAGTTACGATTAGACGTGCTGGCTTAACTACTGCTTTGCTACATGCCGTGATAAGTAAATTACATTTATGGTTGTTTAAAGTAGTAGAACAGTGTGATATATGGTATTCAAAGCTATTCAGGAAGTGACCCGAAGTGGTTAATGGAACTTTTATGGAAAAAAGCCAGAGAATAGAGGTATATTAATGTGGATTGAAAGCAGTAAAACAGTAACAACAGTATATGCGTAGGAATGCATTTTTGAAGAGTGTATGCGCGGTCGTTTAACTCAAATAACTCTCTCAACCTGACTCAGTTGTTACTAATATTGTACTGGGAGGATTCTAGTTTCGCCAAGCTGATCTAGCTATTGACTATGTTTGGTGTTTAATAATAGCATCAGCTAAGGACAATCGCATTAACTCTTAAAACATAAAATGTTTTAAATTTGGAGACGAAGGCAAACCAGTGGAGCCTATTTGCTAAAAGAATCTATTGGTAATTAGAAAGGTTTCTTAATTTGATGATGCGGAATGACTTAAAAGTAAAACAACCTCTATACCACAGTAATCCATGGACGTCAAGTTTGCCCCTGATGCATGGCAATTCCTCGCAGATTCTACCCAATTCCTGATGCATAAGAAAGGGACCCAGTACCGTCCGTGACTTTATATGGATGACATTTACTTAGCATGTAAATACAAGTGGCTTCCGTGTTGTTTTCGTTTCGCCACAGGATTGATAACGGGTTTGCCCCAAATAACTTACAAGCCATCAGGTGTGATGGGGGCCAACCTATTGATAGAGGTAATGGGCGAATTGAATATAACCTGTGGGCGTAAATTGTCTCTGGGCCGAACAACATGTCTTTTCTGCGTCGTTTATCGGGTACAAATCTGAATCGCAAAGCTGCATAATGGAACGAGCATTTTGTGAAATTAAATAATTAATCAGTAAAATTTATGGGATGCCGGCTTTGAAAACACCGTACTACCCCTACCAACTATTTTCTATCCGATAGGATTACAAAAATTTGAGAGAAATTGGGGATACATATTTAGCTGGTTGTTTGAATAACCTAATCTATTTGATTACCAGTTTTAAAAATCCCTTTTTAAGTTCTAAAAGTCAATTTTTTATGTTTCATTATTTGCTTTATCTCTGATATAAATGACAAATAATACAGACGAAGACAATGGAAAACTTGTTTATTAACTGGAATACTTAAAAGAAAATGCCCAAACTACTATCGATTAGTTATAATTTGAGGCCTTCAATTATGCACAGCCTACTTAGACTTTTCTGATAGAAGTCCAGCATAATTCTCTTTTAGCTCACCGTATCTCTCCCCTTTCTTTAACTGCACACTGGTACATCTGCTCAATGCTTCTTAAAGATACCGCACACCATTCCATTCCTCCATATCACTGATAGTTTCAAAATACTGCCATCCCACTAGCTCGCATTACACAATTCAAAGTTTCTCGCACACACAGGGATCGAAGAGATACCTCCCCTTCTTGACTGGTTGAATACTTATAATAATTAACTCTCATGCATTTCTTCAACATTAAATCAACTTAACGACGCTCAAGAGGAGGCTGATCAAAGAAATCTCATGCACAATAGAGATTTCTGGAAGGTGAGTAGTGTTGTGAATTGCGTAGAGAGAGAGAGAGCAAGTGTGTTGTGCGTGTGCAGTGTTTTCTCAACCAATCCACAATCAATAGTCATTAAAACGCAACTTAACATTGATTGTATTTGATGATTAATCCTTTGACAAATCGCAGTAATTTGTGATGAACACTTGGCATTCCATACATTCTGATTCCCCCCCCCCCCCGCCTATACTATTGGGATAGCTTGGCTAAATGCGGAAACAAATGTTATGGATTGAAAATTTTCAAGATTAGATTATTAACATTAAGTCAAGTCTGCAGATGAGAAGCAAGAATAAGTGGAAAAGTATGCAAATCGGACATTTTATGCTATAAACCAGATCCACATTCGAAGGATAAACAGAAGCCATTAAGATAGCACAAGGCCAATTGTGCTGACTAGATACGAAATTCACCAAAGCGGTAATTCTTTGGGAATCACAGTCAGCAATAAATTCTATTGAAAACAGAGAGCCACCCAAAACAACCGAGATATACGAATTTAAATAACTGTATCAGTTACTGAGAGAAAAAAACAAAACAGTTGTTCTACAATGGATCCCTGGACACGCACTTGCTAAGAAGGGGACCACAATTTTGCAAAGTCTAGACCTGCCAATATCTTTCCACACAATGTAGACCTTAATCAGGAGAGAATTCAAGTCTTCCAGGGGCAACGAACTTAACGCTCGAACGAAGAAGAAGCAGTGGACGGTGGCACTCTCCAACATAGCTGACTGGCCAAGAATCAAAGCTGTTGCAGAGTTTAGACTATGTACCGGACACGATTGCCTGGCCAAGCACCTTCACAGAATAGGATTATACGCTCAACCAACAAACCCCTTATGTGACCTACAGGAGAAAATGGAGAAGACCCATCTGATTCGGTGTCCAATCCTACAAACAACGACAGAGACCCAGAGATACTAGGAAACCAGATGTCAGCTAATGAAATAGAGCTAACTGTCCTGAAGCCTAAATATATGTTCTTCGCCCCCTCTTGTGAAAGTTGAAGTCAACTAATGAGCCTACCATTTGAGGCAAATAGTATAAAATGCTGTAAATCATGAACCTGGGTTGTAGTATTATCGATTAAGTTAATCTATATTGGATCACTATTGGAACTTTGGTGCCAATATTGTCACGCCATGTTTACTCGACTAAATGTTTAGAACAGTTATTTATAGCATTAATGGTTATATCCACCAACCTGTTGGGACATTTTTTGCGATGGAACGCATTTTAGACACGGAAAAATGTTATTTAGAAAAAATTGTGATACAAAACAAACGACGTTTTCCTTACTATTTATCAGGGCATGCATTTTGCGCTTTGAAATAAGCCTTAATTAAAGTAAGTACAGCGTCTAAGTTGAAAGGACATTCTCTACCTA